TTCATTTTCTAAAAAATATAAAATGCTAACTTAGGCCAATCCAAATTGGGGATACAATGCCCCAGTGCAGCAGTTAGGGGGGCTTCATACAATGTTTTCAAAACCAGACCGGAAAATCGGGAATTGGTCATCTGACCGGTTCCGTTTCAGTCTATAACTGCTTTTTGACGAAAAACCGTTGATTTGGTCAATGAACCGCTGATTCAGGTGGTCAAACCATCGACCCGTCAATCTGGACAACGGTTTTTAGCTGTTTTTTATTTTTTTTTATTGTTTTTTATTTTTTGTCAAAACGGACCGTCCATTCAATTTAAACAATCGGACCATTCGAACCAGAAATCTAACCCATAACGGGTTCCTGTCCGATTCGATTTTAAAAACCTTGGCTTCACACAAGAAGTTATTCCTTTGCCTTGCACCAAACTCAAGAATTGCTGACAATATCACTAATTGTAAATTCATGGGATCCCTTGGATCATTTAGGAATATTCAAACAGTTGGGCATGAGTGTTCAGCAACAGAAGCTTCAATAGAATTTATACTACTATCAATTAATATTTATCAATGCTGTGAAGCAACAGAGATTTCATAGAGACTACTCATAGTTCAAACCCTTTTTTTATATATACAAGTCTTGATAACTAGCGCTTGAAAAGGTTTATTTTTCCCTAATTTTGTAATGGATGATTCAATTGTTCCCTCTCCATCCATCATTTTTGCCTTGTTTAAACCATAGTTCTATATTTACTTTGGGATGGGAAAGGAGGTAAACTCTGTTGTTTCCAGATAGATTGCTCTCATTAGCAGGGTTATTTCATACAAGTGTTTTCTAAGTTCTAAGAAGATTTCTAGTGATAATTTTATAGAACCTGACAAAAAAGTTGTCATAATACAGTGATACACATCTTCATTTCTATGTGGTAAAAAAAAGTTGTCTGCTTGCTGCTAAGATCTGATAGGATTCTTAGGTGTCTATCATAAAGAACATATATAAAAATATTTCTCATACTGATCAATTGTTTCGTGGGGATTACAGTCAATATGCAAACTTTCTATTGTGCATTTAAAAAGCGCTAAATATGTTTATGCACTTCTGTCTCTTTGTATTAAGAACTGAATCTAGATTAATAACATTGTCACCATATCACCTGGCCCAAAATATTATTGGTATTAATAATCTTTATTAAGAAACTTGTATGCACAACTTCATCATTACTTGAATATACCACAGACCAAGTATTAAGTATACAATGGTTAATTACATGAAAGGGTGGGGAGTCCAGAAAAATCTCTTTTATAGACCCAACTTTTAGTGTATCATATATACCTTAATCAGCATTATATTTGAACAAATAGCATTTCTACTCAAACTMCCAAAACAAACCAGTAGTGGCTTTATATTAACCCAAGGGATGGAGCCAACTATGTCTTGCCAGATGGCAGTGTTGATGCTTGTTAGAACAAAGCCAACTATGTGGGTCCTCATTGTTGTCTAGCATTTTATTCATATTTAGACAAGAAAAGGATTTTGTGGCAGGGATAAAATTATCTTAAAATGCTTTCAATTGTGATGTTTGTGAACTATATAAGCATCACTATGCATTTCTTCCTCCTTTATTTTATTTTACTTTTTATTTGGATTTGAATTCTCAACTGTCATTAGGAAACATGCATCTCTTTCTATGTTACTAGGACTTTTAACCATCAAAGATGAGCTGAGATTGGGCTTGTAAACTAATGGTTGAGCTCGGATTTTTTTTTTTTTTTTTTTGCATGTTTGGACTCTTATTGTCTCATTTAATTTAATATTTTGATATTAAACCCATTGAATCCTTAAAACCAAAAATAAAAATTTTATGTTATGTTATTATTTGTATTTATTAAATGCAATGCACCAAATATACAAAATATATTATAATATCTAAATCAGCTAAGCTAAAGAAAGCTCTTCCAGCCAAACAAGTTCAAATTGAATTCATGTCATTCAAGCCCACTAAAGAGTCAAACTATCTCAGCTCATATACTGTGATAACTTTGCAACATAATCCCATCCTTGTATATTTATCAAGAATTTGTCTTCACACCAAGTAAAACTTCTTCTCTTATTATCTCATATTTATTCACTAAATGGATAATTGCTTGGTGCAGTGGTAAAAATCAATCGGGTAATGCCCTTTTGTCATATAATAGTCATAAGCATAAATACGTTATGCGTCTGACTTGAATACCCGCAAGTTACTGTTCCCACATCAGTATACAGGCCTCCTGAGAACAGTTTGTGCTTTATGGGTAGATATTTATCTTGGGTTCTTTATAGTTTATAAAAGTTAAATCTAAGGCATCGTTTATTTTTTGGTAAGTTATTTACTCGGGCTAATATATTTACCTAAGTGTTTCCCAGAAAATACTTATGTGGGAAAGCGTATTTACCCATGCTCTTTTATTTCTCATGTAAATAAGATAATAATTATTTTAGCCATAAAAATCAATTATTAAAAAGGGTTTTTTGTCCCATTTAAGTGTTGACAACTTTTTCTACAAGTGGGAAAGTTACTTACCCACCTAGGTAAATGATACTCAGGAAAATAAACTTTCATTGGTCCCCACACAAATCTAAAGAAAGAACATGAGTCTTGGTCAATGGGAATTAAAATCCCATTGGCCAACTTCCCCCCTCCCCCCTTC